AACAGCAAGCGATAGGGGCCTCTAAGTGGCGGGCAGCAAGAACACTGCAGGGCTGCTCGCTCAGTGCTTTTAATAGAAAAGCCTAGTAACAGTTGTAAGCAAACGATCAAATTTCTCATTCCAAAGGGTATACATGTGGCAAAAATACAGAAAATTCAGAGAGGCATAGATAACGTTAAATTCACCTATGATACAAGTACTCTATGGTAACTGTGAAAATTTTGGTCTGTGTATCACTTGCTTTGTAGTTTCCTAGGCCAAAGAGAATGTGGAAAATCACTATCTTGCTAGGGGAAAAATGAGGAGGTGATACATAACTTGGAAGTGATTGGCAGTGTGCAGAAGGCCTGACCCTCGGAGATTCAGCTTAACAAGCTTTACAGCTGATCCAGTCCTGGGGTGGCCAGGAACAGGGCTCCAAAACAGGGTTCTAGCAGGTAAACCCTGGCTTGGTTGCTCATTAGCTGTGGGAAAGATATTTGACCAATTTTTACCACGGTTTAGTTCTCCAAAAAAGGTGATAGTATCAACTTTCCACAGTGAGAGTGCATGAAATATTAGGTGTTACAGGTATTGTTCTATTAATTTGTTTATGAACTTTGCCTTATTTTTAGACTTTTCAGAATACCCAATTTGTAAATGCTGATAAATCACAAAATTTTCCCGTTGACATTGGTCCTGCAAAGTTAATTCAAGAGACAGGTGGAATTCCAAAAAAGCTAAAGTAAAACTGGAAGCAATTTAAGAATTTAAAAATACTTAGCATCAAGAGATTTATTCTCAGCTGGGCATGGTGGAACATGCTGGTAATCCCAGCACTCTGGAGGCTGAGGCAGGAGGACCGCAAGGTCAAGAGCAGTCTGGGCAGCTGGTGGATTTAGAAGGACCCTGAGTCAAAAATTAAAAAGGGCTGAGATGTAGCTCAGTGCAAATGCCCTGGGTTCAGTCCCCAGTACTAGGGAAAAAATATTTATTCTCCAGATTTTCAGATGAGGTGAGAATTTCTCTCTGACCTGACAGGCAGGTTTTGAGCAACCTCAAACCCGAGGTTCCACTGGAATTCTACACAGAGTTAAGATTTCAGTTGTATTTTTACACATCTGCTAACATTTGGAGGTGAATTAATTGGAGGTTAGGTATAGCATCAGGAATGCTTGGATTATTTTCTCTAAGAATCAGAACATTTTCATTTGAGCTAACATTATTTTTTCCTAACTCAAAGTTGAAAACAGGTTTCAAATTCAAGATAGAGACCCTATGTTTTGAAGTAGCAGTTTGGTTAGTTTGTTTAATAAAGCCATTTGAAGAAGATGCTCCGGGGCTGAGTCAGAACACACGTGTTTCAATCCAGTTCACATCCATGCTGGGGGATGTATCTAATCACCCCGTGTGTGAAAGATGCAGATTCCTGACACTATCTTTACAAGGTAGTCTTAGACATGTGTATTTTTAAAAATGTTCTAAAATATATAAGCATAAAAACAATTATAAAAACAAAAACCAAAACAAAATGCAATCAGTGGGTCACAAACACAGCAAGCCTATTACACACTGTCATCATAAACTATGTAAGTATTCTCATTGCCTGGGAAATACCAACCTGGTTTTGAAATAATAGGATACCTCTCACTCTAACCATCCTTAACATCTGTGCAGAATGCTCCAAATTCTTTGTGTTTTTTATTTGTTTTGAGATAAATTGCTTTATTTTAATTCTAAGCAATATGTATCCACAGATACAATTAATTAAAAATAAATGCAAGCTTCATCTGTCTCATTAGCAACATTTAAATGTAGTTTCACTTTTTATATTTGATAGTGATTGTTTAATTAATGTTACTTAGATTAATGTGTACTAATAATTGCAATAACATTCTTAATAAGCCTTAATGGTAGAAAAAAAATCTACCAAGTCATTAATGTAGTTTTGTCAATTACATAAATATTTTTATTTTAGCCGGGCATGATAACACATGATTGTAATCCCAGCACTCGGGAAGCTGAGGCAGGAGGATCACTGTGAGTTTGAGGACAGCCTGGGCTACATAGTGAGTTCAAGGTCGGCCTGAACTACATAGTGAAACCCTGTCTCAAAAAATTTTTTTTATTTTAGAGAAGTATGCTAAGGTGATGAATAGAAGAGTTTCAGGTATGGAATGTATCACTTTAAGAGAAGGTTTCTCCATCTCAACTCCGTTGACATTCTGAATCAGATAGCTCTTAGTGGTTCAGGGCTACCTTGAGTGTAGGATCTTTAGCGGCATCTCGGGCACCCTTCAGATGTCCCTAGCACCCTTTATCCATTTGTGAAAATTAAAATTGCTTCTAGACATTGCCAAATGTCCCCTGGTAAGCAAAATCTCCACCACAGCCTCCAGGAACTCCACTCCGCCACCTTGTGAGAATCCTTGTTCTAGAGAAGAAGGGAACGAAAATGCAAGTTGAATGGGGAAAAAGATTAAGATTGAGTCTCTCTATGTAGTCAAGGCCAGCCCTGAACTGTACAGTCCAGGCTTGTCTAGAACTGAAGATCTTCCTGCCTCAGCCTTCATGCTGCTGAGATAGATTAAAGGTATGTGTCACCATGCCTAGCTCTCAAACAAAAACATTTTGATGATTACTGCTGTAAGCCGTAGCAAAAGTACCATGAAGTCTCTACAGCATATATTAATGATTTGGTATTCTTTTACCTTTTAGGGGTCAAAGTGATATGAGCTTGACATATTAACCTTACACATCACCATATACATATTCTGATTCCCTGTCTCTACCCTATACCACCACTTGCCTTCTTGTCATGCTAAGAGTAGAAAAGATTTTTATTCTTACTCCTCATTAGGGACCCCTAAAACAAAAAACAGAGTAGCAAGAGAAAGGCCTACAAATTTAAAGTTTTATAAAACACAGAGCCTTCAGAAATGAAGACCTAAAGAAGACCCCATGTATTTTAATGTTACGTTTGATAAAGAGTAGACACTCATGCAAAAATAGACTGACAAAAGGGTATCACCTAATAGTAATAAACTGGACGACATTTAGCAAGGCCTATGTGATCAGGCACTTTTTTTTTTTTTTTTTTTTTTGGTTTTTCTCCAGTACCGGGAACCGAACTCACGACCTTGAGCTTGCCAGGCAGGCGCTTTGCCGCTGAGCTAAATCCCCAGCCCCTGATCAGGCGCTTCTTGACATCTCTGTCTCACTGAGGACAAAGATGTTTCTCTCCTGCAGCACAGAAAGGGAACCTCTGGAATGAAAGTCTTAGGATGTATCTCAGAGGAAGCTCATAGAATTGTTTTATGGCGTGCTTCTGCTGTTTCCTCAAATTCCAAGGTGCCATATTTTGGAGTGGAGTATCCTGAACACTTTCAGAAGACACAAGGAAGATTTAAATTTGCCATAATATGATTCTGATTTAATCACAGGTGCAACTACTCTAAAGGACCCTAATAGAGACAAGTGAGGAGATACAGAAACCAATTTAGACAGACTTGTTTTGAAGGGAACACGTAGGCTGCTCTGTGGAGAATTATCTGCATGTTAGTGAGGGTAGAGGCAGGGAGAACAGGTAGAAAGTGATGGTAATGATGGTAATAGAGGTGACTGTACTCAAGAAAGCTGAGTCTGGTGGAGGTGGTTAGCAGTGGTCAGACTCCAAGTACATTCTGAAGGTAAAACTGCCAGGATTTGTTGCGGAACGGTACAGAATCAGGGTGTGAGAAGGGAGAAAAATACTGGAAAATTCCTAGGTTTCTGGGCATAGCAACTAGAAGGACAGATTTGTCATTTACTGACAGAAAATCCGGGAAGGAGTAGACTTGAAAGAAAAATAGTTCACTTTTGGACACACCAAGTTTGAGATGCTTTCTTAACATCCATATGAAGATCTCCTTGGGTGAGTTAAATATTAACATGACTACCACCTTATTGACATCCAGGATCAAGGATCACAAGTTCCAGTACTCTCGGGAGTGAGGCAGTCAACATAAATGAGTGCTGAACTCACTAAGAAGGGAGGACTGCGGCCTATCCAAAAGTAAACGTGCTAGCTAAACTGGAGGCCACTGCTGAGCCTATAGTGTCTCCATTAATTTACTAATGTGCGTTGCAAAAGAGATTTTGTTTAGCATGTCTATAATTTACCTGACAGAACTCTCTTTTCAAATATTTCATATATATGTATTAGCTCATGAGTCGTAGTTGATCGTACACACACTGGCAATTTTGTTAGCGGTCCTAAGATCTCATATCAGACTTGAGTGAAATATAAAGGGAACAATTACTGAAGTCTTCTAACTTGTTTAATCCTAACTGGACTCTTGATCCCATCCCTGGTGAAGAAACACTCGGTGAAATCACAAGGGCACTGAGTCACTTCATGTCCAACCCTTCTCCCTCTTTCATCTGTCAGCTGACATAACTTAGTGACAGGAAGGACAGCCGACTGCTGCTCTATGCAGATGTTCTTTGTTTTCTTTACCCTTGAGGAAGGGAGAGGAGAGCGGAAAAATACATCTGGATGGAATGGAAATTGTGTAATACAAAATAGACTAATATTGTTGCAGGTTTTTAAAAATATACTCCAGGATGTTTTAAAACAGTTGAGGTCCAAAGTTTGTCTCTGAACAGTCAGAATACATGGTCTGTTTAAAAGAGCTCCTGATACAGTTGAGATCAGAACATAAAAAGGTAAGGGTACAAAAATGTCAATGTCATGAAGTTCAGAGAAGGGAGAGGCTAATGTGGGTTTGCGTGGCCAGGGGAAAGGGTCACATGAGTTGGTCCTTGATGCGCATGTGGGCATCAGGTGGGGAGGCGGGAGGTAGGAATTCCATGTGGAAAAGACAAGGCAGAGACAGAGGTGTGGCAGGCTTAGCAACCTTGAGCGGACCAGAGGGCACAGGTGGGAGGAAATGGGATACAAGGCTGGACCAGATCACGGTGGTCGCTGGATACCACGTAAAGAAATGGTTTTCATTGTGTAGGGACTAGAGAGTCTTTGAAGGTTCTGGAGCAGGAATCTGCATATTCAGGGAACTGTGACGGTGAGGTCATAAAGGGGCACTCTGCAGGACCCTGGACAGAGGTGATGAGAGTCTGCGCTGCGAGCTGAAGGGAGAAATAGAAGAAAATGATATTATGGAGGAAGAAAAGACCACAGGACTTAACCTATGGAATATGCGAGAAGCAAAGGTAAAAGATATGGCATTAAGCCAGATTCTCCGAGAAAATGGTTACCCTGAGGGCAAACTGATTTAACTGGGTTTTTTTTGGTCTTTTGTTGGGAGACAGGGTCTCACTATACAGTTCATACTAGCCTTGAACTCACTTTCTAGCCCAGGCTAGCCTCCCACCTGACAGGAATCCTCCTGCCTCAGCCTCTCAAGTGCTGAGCAAACTGATTTATACGCATAGATTTAAGGCACAATCAGATAGTGGTACATCTAAATAGCAGTGTTCAATCAGTTCATCAGTGGTTTGGAATTAGGATTTGGGGAGGACAGGCAAATAATGTACACCAAAAAGCACCACTAAATTCATAGCTATGTGCTAGATCCTTTATCTAGAGCTGGACTTTGGCACCATCTGCATAGTTGTTGCTCAAAGCAGGAGAATGAAGAGGATACAATGACAACTAATTTACCACATTTTTTCTATGTCCTTTTACTATGAAAACAGTTATCATACCAAAGCAGATGCGTGCAAAAAGCACTGCCTCATTATGGCACATCAAGATCACCCAAAATTTCTGGTTGTGTAAGTTCATTCTCAGTGTAGGTAGTCATTGAGACAGGGAAAGAAAAACAGAACTGTAATTGTTCTTTTTGACTCTTCTTTCCCTGGAGGGAGACGGACAGATACAAAACAAGAGGCAGGAAGGAACCAAAAGAGAAAGTATTTGGGAGAGTTTCCACCCGCTAAAATAAACAGGAATGGAAGGAAATATTGTCCTTGAAAAGTAACATTTACACAGTGTCTCTTGTCTGGTGTTCATGATCAATTTACACCCATGCTGCTTCCTTCCCATCGTCAAACTTGCCATTCACAAGCCGGTTAGGAGTCACACGCTCCCTCCTCATGCTCCCTCTGGCAGTGCAGGCTTTCTGCTGTCCCTGTTGTTTTGTACGCCAGCCCTGGAGCTCAGCTGCAACAGGCACGTAACAATGCTTGACAGATGTTTCTACAGCAGTCATCAGTCTTTCCAATTTGCCACAAATCTCCAGGGCGAGCTGGGTCATTCCTTTCCTTTCCCCCAGCAGCATCCAGGAAGGTCATGCTGCTTAAAACAGCTTTCAATTTTAATGCCAAGGGCAAGAGAAAAATGGAGAAACAGAGAAGGCGGTTGGGGAGGGAGTGGGAGCAGGTGAAGGGTAAGACTGCATTTGCTAACTTAGCATCTCAGCAAGCAGTAGTTATTTCACATACAACTGTTTTCACTCATGGTACTCTTTCTTTGGCTCTACAAATGCAGTAAGTGTTGTTAACTGTGTGCAATCACATTTAACGGTATATCTGCTTAATCACACTTTACTTAACAGTGTATCTGCTTCTAAGGAACAGAATACGGGGGCCTTCTTTGGATTCAGCACCGACAAGACAGCAGGGTAAAACATTCCCCAGATCCTGTAGTGCAAGTATCTGCCCTAGGACCTGTGAAAGATACATATAAGAATCCCTGGTTCTTACAGATTCCCCCCAATTTTTTGTTAGAAATGGGAAGGGGAAGTGTCGGGAGGGTGTGAGACTGAGGACACGCCCAGCAATGCATTTCCCACTATCTAGAAGAATGAACTCACATCTGAACTGGCTGTCCCAAGACCCACATCTAGGCTGGGGATATAACTCAGTGGCACAAGCACCTGCCTGGCAAGCACAAGGCCCTGAGTTCAATTCCTGGTACCAAAGACAATTATCAAAATAAAAAAGAATAGCCTTCTATTCTTAAAAAAGAATTTCCTTCTAAGAAGGAAAAAAAAAGGACCCACCTCTATGATGGACTATTAAAAATTGACGCACATCTAAAAGTTAGGCAATATGCTTTGAACACATAAAATGGTAGTGCGGACAGAGAGAAACGAAGGGACCCTGCAAGAATGTTCACGAATTGAGAGTTGCCCAAATGGAAAGTTTTCCTAAAACCTTATGAATTTCCAGTTACACAACCAAAACATTATCACAAGACAATGGGACATAGTCTATTTATAATGAAAAACAGTTATTTTCAGATCTGTGTCAGCTTCAGGGTTTGACAATGACGAGCACTCATGATTAATCTCCATATAATCCAGGCAGCAGAAAAAGCGTCACGAAGATAGTAATGAAGTAACTGTAAACAAAAATAAGTTACAGAATTGGCTCAAATGGGCCACTGGATGTTTGCTACCTTAAGAAGCTATGACAATTCATACTTCTGTGCCCTTTAAAAATTGTGGCGTTCTCACTGTGTTCAATTCTCTGATATTACAATTTTTTTTGTAACCTAATTCCTGAATCTGTTACCAGATTCAACAGAACCGCACCCAGAGTTTACAGCATGGTGGACCAGTGAAAGCCTTTGAGAAAGAAGTGCTTTGTGGGTTCATAGATCCTTTTTCATCTCCACAAACGCAGAGAGGAAAAGCAGAACATTGAAGTTCCTGATGCCAGAGCTCCTCCCCGTAGAGACAATAAGACCACATGAGAAGACCCTGAGGCACCCTGCCCCCTTTCGGTGGTCTACATTCCATAAAAAGGGTCCTAAACGACAGAAAAGCAAGAGGAGGAGCTTCATGAACCACCAGACGTATCTACAGAAAACAATGAGCTCTCCTACAGAATACAAGATTTTACAACAAAACTTCAGAATCAATTAGCAATGATACCCTCTTCTCATGGTATGGTATTTGCATAAGACAATAAAGGTACTTTATAGCCTTCTCTTACCTGCCTACTTTCCCTCTGGGAGGATGTTGAAGAGGAGGCACTTCTATGGGTTGGAGTGGATGTTTTATGAGCAGGGGATATGCCCTTCTCGTCTGAACTCATTGCTGCAGTTAGAGTCTACTCCCGTGCACCTGAGACCATCCCAGTCATCTCAAATTCACAGAAAAAGGTGTCAATGATTTTTCAGCTTCAATCCATTTCATGAATCAGGTTTGCCTAGGAAAGAGCAGACAAATATTCAGTGTGTCCAAAAACCTAAAAGCAAAACAAATTTTAAAGTTTCATGTAATTTTCATGTAAACCTTTTTTCCCTATAGATTAACTATCTCAGGTATTTTATTACAGAGACAGACATCTGACTAACAACATGTATCCACAGTTATTGATGTCTCAAAAATTAAAAGCATTATATTTAAGGTAAATATTAATTTGTGAGAGGAAGAACTCTGGCATAACAGGAAATATGTGTTCCTCTAGACTTTCACAAGTAAGATAAACATGTTAGTTTCTAACAAAAATCCATCAACCAGGAAAGAGGAAAGAAAACAAGCTAAAAATCACACTGTTTTAAGGCAAATTACAATTTTATAATTATTCTCAACTCTAATAATTATGCAAAGTAAAGGAGCTTTTTCCCCAGAAATTGCAATTGCCCCTGTCAAATGGAATATGTCCTGCTTAAATCCAACACAACAGAGTCAGTTACAAAAGGACTGATGGAAATATTATGTGTATCTGTGAGCCAGAATAGGTGAAAGATCAAATAATACACATGCTGTAACTTGAATGCTGAATGTCTACCAAAGGCTCATATGTTAAAAGATTTGGTCTTTAGGTGGCACTATTCGTAAGTGGTAGAACCTGTAGGATGTAGGGTCTTATGTGAAGCCCTTGGGTCACTGGGAGTGTGCTCTTCAAAGAAACTGTGGAGATCTGACTCCTTACTTTTTCTCTTTTGCTTCTTGGTTATGAGGTGAGAGGTTTGCTCTGTAAATCACTCCCCACCATGGCATGTGACACCCCTACCAAAGGCCTACAAGCAGTGGGCCTGCCCTGTCATGACATGGAACCTCTAAAACCACGAGCCAAAATAAACCCTTTCTCCTTATAGGGTAATTCTCTCAAGTAGTTTATAATAGCAATGGAAAGCTGACTAACAATATATATCCACCATTTTTTATTCTGCACAGTTATTGCATGGCTACATATGACTTCAACAACTAATAAGCTTGCAAGTAGCTACGGGATGAAATCAGAGCTAATGGTCAGTATGACTGGTGGTCAGTATGAGTAAGCACTGTATGTCAAGCACAAAATGGTCAAAGAAAACCAAATGCTTATTCCACAGGGCCTTAAAATCTATGTTGGGTGTGTGATATGAGTGCATGCCATAAAATTCATGTGTTAGAAACTTAATCCCCAAGGCAACATTATTGTGAGATGAGGCCTAAAGACAGAACTGTGGGCCATGAAGGCTGTGCTCCCATAAATGGATTTAATGCCATTATTAAAAAAGGTTTATGAGAAGGGTCCTCTCTCTTCTGTTCTTCTGCCTTGAGACATAGCATTCCTCCTATGACCATTAATCCTGGCATGTCAACTTCACTGCATTAAGAAATGCCTAGCAGATTAATAAAGCACATTCCTGCACATGTCTAGATAGAACAAGGAGCTGTGACCTCACCTATTCCTGTTTGGCACTGTTGCCCTGTTCCACTTCCTGGCCGGCATAAACTGAGCAGCTTTGCTACACCCATGACTTTCCATCACGATGTGTCTGCTTGGAGCCAGCCAACTATGGACTGAATTCCTTGAAACTGTAAGCCAAGTTAACCCTTCCTCCTGAAAGTTGTGAGTGTTGGATGTTATGTCCAGCAATGGAAGCTAATATAAAAAGTTTGCTAGGATTGGAGCCAATGCTGTGAGTATACCTGACCATGTGGTTTAGAAACTTTAGACTAGTTTGCAGGAGGATTTTGGAAAGGTTTAGAGATATGGGCTAGAGAAGAGTTAGAATGTGAAAAATAGAGCTTGATGTGTGATTTTAGTCAGAGCTTGGAAAACCAGAATGTATATAGTAATGGAGAGAGTAAAGCTCAGGCTCAGATTTCGGTACAAAACAAGCACTCCACTGACAGTTGGACTAGAGGCCATTTGTGGCAGAAAATTTGCCTACAGTTTGCCCATTCCCTGAGAGTTTGCAACAGCCTGAGATTGAGGGGAGTGGACTAACTAATCTGGTGGAGGAAATTTCAAGACAGTCCAACATGCAGGCTGTGGGATGGGTACTGCTAGCTGCTTTCAGTAAGATTTATAGTGAGAATTGGGGCAAAAAACAGGGCAGAAGACTCTGAAAAAATCCAAATTTTGGCTCAGAAGGAACAATGTGTGAAGTTGGGACCAAAGGAGGTACAGCTGCTACAGAGAATAGTACCTTTAAAAAGAAACCAGGTAGTTTGTATAGAATAAAGGAAAAGATACCTCGAGGTCATTTTGGGGATTAGCAAGATTCTGACTACTGCACACTAAAGGGTGAAAAAGTGTCAAAGTTTCTTCTGAGAGCAGAGTCCCCGGGCCCCATACTCAAGAAGAGCCACTTAGTGAATTGTTTCTCTGGGATTCATTTCATTATACTCAGCCACTCACACTCAGAGGCTGCTGTAGCCATGGCTGAAGGGGGCCTGGCCACTTCCACTGATAGCAGTCCTTGACAGTGTCCACATAGTCCGGGTTTTACTGGCACAGAGAACGCAAGAGTTGTGGTTGGGGGAGGCCATCACTCATATTTCAAAAGAAGGCTCAGAAGGCCAGGAAAGGAGTTCCCTAGAGGGCAGTGCATGAAGCTGTTGGAATGAAACTAAAGGTAGAGACCCTAGGAAGTCAGGGATGATAGGAACATGGAAAGTCTGCCAAAGAAAACTGCAGGTCATGAGTGCAGCCAGCCCAAGACAGCGTCTGTATGGGCTGCAACTGGCTAAGCCATAGGGTAAGAGTTCCCAGGCACTTTGGAACTTGCATTTTTACCACTATGTGCCCTGAATGCCAGATATACAGTACAGGACTGAATGTTTGCCCTGCTGGGTTTTGGTTTTGGTTTTGTTCAGTTCTTTTCTATCTCCATATTCCCCCTCCTTACGGAACAAGAATGTTCACCCTGCACCATTTTACTTTGGGTTATGTAACTTGTTTTTTTATTTTTACAGAGGTCCACAGGAAAGACTTTGTCTTGAGTCTCAGAAGAAACTTGGACTTAAACTGTTGAAAACTGCTGTAACTATTCAGGCTTGGGAGAAGGGATTATTGTGTTCCAGTTATAAATGGAAAAGCTCTATTATTTTAGGTGAAGTTAGAAACTTGCTATTGCTTTTACTTGGAGATTAAGTATGATTTAAGGATATGTAGTTGTGAAGTTGACAACTGGTAGACTATGACTGTTCACCCTAATATGTCAACTTGACTGGATTAAGAAACATCTAGCAGGGCTGGGGATTTAGCTCAGCGGCAAAAGTGCCTGCCTGGCAAGCGCAAGGTCGTGAGTTCGGTTCCCGGTACCGGAGAAAAACCAAAAAAAAAAAAAAAAAAAAAAAAAAAAAAGAAACATCTAGCAGATTAGTAAAACATATTCTTAAAAAAAAAAACAAACATATTCTTGTGCGTGTCTGTCTGATTGGGTCATGGAGGCATGACCTTGAGTACTATATATAGCCCCTCACCCTTTCCTCTCTGGCACAGTTCTCCTAGTCTGCTCCCTGGCTGACATGAACTGTGCTGCTTTGGTCCACCATGCCCTTCTGCTATGATGTTCCTGCCTTGGAGACAGCTGACCATGAAGTCAATTCCTGAAACTGTGAGCAAAATTAAATTTTTCCTGCTTTAAGTTGTGAATATTGGGTATTGTGTCCAGCTATTGGAAAGCTGATGAATGCATCTTTCCTCTGGAGCACACAGCGCTGGAGGCACCATTCTGGAAGCAGAGAGGCTGGGCCTAACCTGCCAATGATCTACTTCTGAACTTCTCAAGCCTCCAGGGCAGTGAGAAAGAAATTATTGTTCTTTGTAATTACCCAATCTCAGTTATCCTGTTATAGCAGCTCAAATGAGCAAAGATATTAGCATTTTGAATTGTATCATAAGCATAAGAAGCCACAAAAGGATATAGAGTAATCAGATTTGTACTAATAAGAGGTTACTTTGGCAGCCATGAGGAGAATAAAATTGAGGAAATAAAGAAGGTGGGGGGAAGACTCCCCAGCCCACATCAGGAAGAAGAGATTACATATTAGAGTAGGGGCAGGAAACCCAGAACCAAATCATTCCCAACATGAAGGGAAGAAGGCAGGCAGTGTGGGGAGACTCCCAGGTTTCTGGCATTCTCAGCAAGAAATAGTCAAGGAAAATTGAGGATTTACAGGAAAGTCATGAGTATGGTTTTAGGCATGTTGAATCTAAGATATCACTGAGGAATAAAATGAAGATAAATACTTGGAAATGTAGAGCCCAGAGAAATTTATGCCAGTGAAATATGTTTAATAGATTATGTGAATGACATAGTTAATGATCCAGTGATTTGTGTGGAGATGGTGTTAATTCTGCATGTATAAGTAAATTAAATTTTTACAGGTCTATTGTTACATTTTTGAAATCTACAACATTATGTTAATGGATTATATGACCTCGGATATGTTAAATCTGGATTTTAATAGCCACTTGGTTATAGGCAATATTTGAAGGAACAATCCTGATAACCAAAAAGGAATTTTTATAAACTTGGAAAACTGGACATTTTAATGACTAACGTTTATATTCCTTTCTTTGCATTCTAAATTCCTTTCTTAAGTCACCACAGGAAAGTAAAAGCTACCTACACTCAAAACTGTAGGACTTTGTCTTGAAACAAATCCAGCCTTTGGACAACTAGAAATATAAATAGCTATGGAGCTCTTTTGTTGGCTAGCAATGAAGTTTCATTTGTACTGGCAAAAGGCAGTAATAAGCCAACACTTGATAGATGATCATCTAATCGTTTTGTTTTATGAAGGCAGTCTAATGAGCCTGAGTAGAGCTTCTGAAGCCAAGCTCTGGTGCCAGCAATCAGAAAGCAAGAACACTGCTCAGATCCTTGACTTGAAGTGCTTTGCTTTCTGGTCCAAAATGTTTTACAAGTAGATGTTGACATTTGAGCCAAAAGTATGGCAGTTTGTGATATGTTCAAGTGC